ATTAGTGTCATGCCCATAAAGTTGGTGGAAAGTGCAAAACCTTGCCTTTTCCAAGGGTCTGTTTGATTGCTTCTTCTTCTTCTTCTTCTTCTTCTTCTTCTTCTTACTATCAGTTCTTCCAGATGGTCCTGCTTCGCCAGGAGCATTCTCGTATGCCAATACCGGCACTGCATTCAGTGTGGCGGAAGCCAGTGCCTGTCCGGAGGTGGGAGCTATTGTGTGAGCTGCTTGAGTCCATTGCTAAGTGACAAGGTGTGTTGCGGGTCCTCAACCTACCTGCCTCTGAGATGGAGGTAGTCCCTGCGCGGCACGATTTCGGTGATCAATCATTTCTTCATTGACGATTTCCACTATCATCATTTCCACCAGTTCTTCATAGGTGGCAAGATTCTTGCTGCGCACGTCCCTCAAGAACAAAGTGTTCATATTGAGGGCGCCTCTCAAAGCTGAAATGGCTTCTCTGTCAGTAACCTATTCGCAGTATGTGATTTCGTTTGTAAATCTAGCGAGATAGCTTTTTAGCGTCTCTCCAAAGGCCTGCCTCATATCTTGTAGGCGTTGCACTGGGGTCTCTCCTTCTCTGCGTGAGAGGTATTGGTTCAAGAATGCCTTCTTCAAATCTGGCCAACTCCTAATGCTCAGGGGAGGAAGTCTGCTATACCACACTTCAGCAGCTCCGTCCAAGGTTAAGTGGAAGGCTCTGCATTTCAAAGCAGGCGAGGCTCCCCTTAGGCTCTTCTATGTCATGTACTTGGTGAGGTGCTTCTCCGGGTCCTCCTTTCCTTTATAGTTGGGGATCTTAGGGGGCATGAAGTTCACTGGCATTGGGAAGCTTCGGATCTCCCTTGAGAAAGGGAGGTTATCATCATCGTCGTCAATTTCATAAGATCGACAAGGCCCATCTGACCCTTCATCATCTTGAATATCCTGGGGAGGCGAAAGTGCTTCTCCTCGGCTCCCCCAATCGACTAGGTTCCTCATATCCCTCCTATTTCTAGGAGGAGGAGGTGCCTGTTCTTGCTCCTGGTCTTGCCAAACTGATCTTCGTACTGAGCGAACCCTATTGCTAGGGTCTTGCCCTATTCCGTCGAAGACGCTTACTGACCTTTGTTCCTCATATTCTTGAGGGAAATTGTCCCCTAGCTGTGGTTCTGCTAGCTGGCTCCCTTGCACATAGGATGTGGCTTCCACGCTCACTTCTCTTTTGAGGGGGCGTTCTCTGTGCTGGCTCATATGACCTCAAGAACAAAATACAGGGGCTTCCTGCACTGGGTAAGATCCTTGGGGCATTTGAGAGCCCTGGTGACCTCGGGCTTGCATGAGAAGTTCATGCATCGCCATATTCTGAGCTGCGATGTCTCTCATGCCCACAGCTATTTGAGTCATTCCTTCAGTGAGCATGGCTGTTCTTTCACCTCGGCGATGCCGGTGATGGGGTCTCTGGTGAGTGACATTGTTATGGAGCACCTCTTCTTCAGAGGCCTCTCTCATGGAATTGTCGTCTTCATGGCTGGAACTCGTTCTATCTCCATTTTCAAGGGTGATGAGAACTTGGGTTATAACTCGACTTTGTTCTTTTTCAAGAACGTGCCCCTTTCAGGGTAAGTCGCTAGTTTTTCGGTGATTTCTCCGGTGGAGAATGCAGAACTTTGAACGGGAAGTTTCTCACAGACGGCGTCAATCTGTTGATCTCAGAAATTAGACCCTCCAAGTGGCCAACTGATAGCCACTCCACGTATTCCTCCCTGTGCACAATCAACGCACGGTCAGATGCACACGGCAGGAACCAGCGGGGGTGGCGGGGGTCATATACACTCGGACAGTCAAGTTAGGCTCAGGTGATCGGAACAATACCAAAGTTGTGCAAAATAGTGGGAAGGAGAATATATATATTTGCTTGCTATGGAGTGCTAAGTAGTAAGAGTTTCATTACCCTTGCCTCTTACCAAGCCTTGGGTATTTATAGGTGAAGAGAACCGTTGGATGTGAGACACGTGTATACATCTGATGGTATGAGGTGTCTGCTCATAAGCGTCAATCAGTCGCGTCTATAGAGTGGGCGGGTAATTATTTTTCCCGAGTTGAATTGACATAAAGTTGATACGTCACATCAACTAACCTCATGGAGACATCAAATCACTTTAAACCTTAGGGGCAGAAAAGATCTTGACAAATATCTCATTCTGAAATTGGCGGTGGATCCTCTGACAGAGGTCCCCGTAGTGCATTTCGCCTCTAATTCAGGGGCGTGGGCGCTTCGATCAGTCCCGCAGAATTGCCTATGCCTCGTAGTATGATAGCAGATCGTCACTATTGGTGAAGTCACTTCGGAACCACTTCGGATGAGTGTTCCACATCTCGCATGATGTGGTGGTGGACTTTTCGAAGTGGGTCAGATAGAGACGTAACAAAAAACAAAACTTTTAGCAACTAAATTGAAATGATGGTCACCTCTTTACATACAAAATCAATGTAACGAAGATTATTTAAAATAATAATGCATGCATGTCAAGAAATTAAAGGGGAAAACAGTAAATATAGAAAAATAAGTAAAAATCCAAATGAAAAATAAGTTGATATTAAGCATAAATTGTATTTGCATGGTGAATAATAAGAGAATTCTGTATCTCTCTCTCTCTCTCTCTCTCTCTCTCTCTCTCTCTCTCTCTCTCTCCAGTATATATTTTTCTGAAGCTTCAAACTACAAGTGATATTCTTCATTGGATAAAGGGCGGTGCGGTATTATGCAATGCAGTTTTCGTATTTTTGTCATGTCAAGAAGTTCATTCTTCTCCTACGAAGGTTAGGATGGTTGGCAAGATCGATGTTGCACTGCTGACCGCTTTTTTTTAACTCTCATTTCAACCTACTCAGGGAAAAACCAAACATTTAAGGTGAATTATTTAAAGATAATAGAAGTTCTCGAGATTGTTCGTCGATTTTCACAATTATTTTCAATTGGTTACTCAAATCTTCATCGACAGTTCACAGTTACATTTTTACTTGCTTTTTGTTCTTATTTTCGGTAAATATGAGTCGACTACATAAATGTTCATTAACATGAGTTCTTTATGTTCATTAACACAAGTTCAATAAAGCTATGCTATAATTTTATTATTATCCCGAGCTTAAATTATGATATGTCATCAAGAACTGATTGCACAATAAATTAAGACCCTAATTCCGATCAATCGGGAAAGTGATAACAAATGAAGCAAGTGCGAGATCTATTTTATTCCTGTGTCTAATCACATTCTACCTCACCAAGAAGAGCTACTATATAATAAATAATCAATGAAAAGCACGTGAGTTATTTTATGCTTGTGTATAGACCTAAAAGTAAAATGGCTCAAACCACAGTCTCCCTGGGGCTGCAGCAGCTGCACAAAAAAATCGCGAAACCGCAAATCAAATCGAAACCGTTGAATTGAAACCGTTGGTTCGGGTCCACGTGGACCCGTGGTTTTTTTCCCCTCAAACCGAACCAAACCATTTCAAAATGGTTTGATTTAGGTTTTGATTTTCAAAACCACACAAAACCAAATCGAACCGTTTTTAAATTTTTTAATTAAAAAATTAATTTTATTAATTTAAAAATTTTACAATTTTCACTTTTCTAGAAAATATCAATTTAACAATATAAATTACAACTAGCCTATTGAAATAATCACAGAAAGTAAATGACATGATTTAATAGGTTCACAATATATGTCATCACCTGATATCTAAACTAAACTAAAATTATTCCAAAATCATATGAAATGAAAATATATATATATATATTTTCAACCATCCAAATCATAATTTAACAAAACTATATCAGTAAATCATGTCTAAAGTTTTAGAAACCATAACATAAGCTCTAATTTCCCTAACATTTGACGCTTGTCTACAACCGTTGAACGAATCGCCAGTCACCTTTACCTGTTAGTCTACTAATATCTACCCGAATCGCCTCTTTCTCTCTTCTCTTTCAATAAGTCTTATATTTTTATTTTGGCCATTTTCCATTGTTCTTACTTTTATTTGTTTTTTGAACTTATTATACGCTTGTGAATTGTGGTTTAGATAGAAAAATAATTGTTTGTGTGCCTAGATGATTAATGAACTTGTTTTTTATTTAAAAAGAACGAATGACAAAGCGTATTGATTGTGTGAAAAATGTTAAAGTTCCCTAACTAGTACTACTCCTTTTACTTTACATCTCACTAGCAAAACGAAAATGAATTTTAACTAAACTATAATAATAGAATGTAACTCTACATTTACCAACCGATATATAACAATATGAATATCAAACAAGAAAAGGTAAATAAAAATGAAGAAATATGTATTTGTTCTATTAACATTTTTTAGCAACCAATTATGAAAATAATTTATTCATATGTTCCTTGATAAATATGAATGTAATTTAAAATTTAACATTATTAGTTCTTGTTTACACTTATATTTAACTATGTTCAATACATTATTATAATGTCGAAAGGTAAACCGCAGATTAAAATCGAACCAAACCGCAAATTATGGTTTGGTTTGATTTGGTTTGAAAAATAAAATGGTTTGGTTTGGTTTGTTTTGAAAAAATTTCCAACCGCTAAAAACGGTTTGAATGAAAAATATAGCACAAACCGTCCAAATCGAACCGCGTTCACCCCTAATTCTCCCTCACCAAAAAAAGCTGCTAAATAATATAATCAATGCATTGGGGCTAATAAATCCCTCGATTTCATATTGTGGACTAGCTGGGGGGGTCATCACATCCTACCGCAACAATCTGCAACCCCGTCTCTTTCCGAAATAAATTAGAGACCCTCACAAAGAGCCAATGCTTTAGAGTTTACAGCAGTAATACCCTAGAATACTGAAACCAAGAAGTGGGGGAAGACAAAAAAGCCAAAAGCTCACCGTATAAGAATCAAGGCATGTAACTCGTCACTTGTTGATTCGGATATGAAAACATTGACGAAATGCAAGAGACTACGAAAAAACAGCTATCAACCTTCAAAGAATGAATAAATGATGACATATATTGGCCTTCTATCAGGATAAAGATATAATTATGAACAAAACTAAAGAAACAAAATCCCAGGGTTGAATGTATAATAATTTCTAAGCCATGGAAAAAAAAAATGTACAAAATTTCTCAGCCATCTTCAACAATGGTTCTCACCGAGCTTTAGAAACTCAAATAATGCTTCTCCGCCTTCTGCATCCCCACCCATAATTCAGGGAAGATTATGAAAATATAGTTTGTTTTTAGTACTCAGCTACATTCTCTTTGGATGGCATGGATGATATCTGTGTATCTGGTCAGTAAGAAAACTCGTGCCCTCGGAGAGATATATACTTCTTTACCCATATAGCAATATCCTCACAACAAGCTTGGGCTTTAGGAGTCTTGAGAAGCACGTCTAGGGTAGCAAATTCATGTACAGCATCCTTGTAATCAAGTACGGGGGCATCCACATTAACCTTTCGGAGCTCCTCAGAGTATGCGATGGCCCGATCCCGCATCCAATCATGTTCAGCCACAACTGTCAGTGTCGGTGGCATGTACTTCAGGGGTGTCTCTCTCCTGGGGGTAAGAGGGTTAGCAGCTGGGTGGTCCAAGTTGAATTCTTCTTCAGATAAAAAGAGTTTCCATGCAAGAATGGACATAGATTTGTCATAAAGGTAAGAATTACACATCTTAACTTCAGAATGTGTGGGCGTGCTTCCAATGAAGAAAGGATACATAAGGACTTGTGCAACCACTCTTATAGGGTCCAAAAGGTTACCCGCCTTTACTGCATGTTGCGCCACATGGTTGGAAATATTGGCCCCGCAACTGACTCCAAGGAGAACACATCTGTTTGAAGACCCAGGCGAGTTAGTTGATTCTACTCATTAAAGATATCATGCTATTGAATCAAATTGCAACATGACTGTTGCCTTAATTGAGGCAAATCAAAGACAATTATCCAAATCATTACTAATTGCAAGACAAGGCTACTAATAATGTGCTCTCAACGAAAATGAAATGGTTCTGCAGCATATTACAGAAGTGCAAAACCTTCCATACTTCTTGTTGAAAATGAAAAAGTCAATTAAATAAATGATAACAATATTGAAACATATCATAACCTCAAGATTACTTTCACTTTAACTCATAAAGTAAAATGCAAGATTAAAATGCAAGCTGGAAAAGTGAGAGTTAAGTTGGTGTGTTAAGATGATTGGATCAGTCCAGTCATTTCTGTTCCTTGTAGATACCATAATCCTTCATCTCGATTTCAAAAACTAAAGCATTTTCCAAAAAGAAAAAAAAGAGAGAGAGAAGTTTTAATGTTAATGCTAATGAACCAAAAAGATAAAAAAGGAAAAAGAAAAACAAATGTCAACTGCCTGAAGCGATGAGAATTACATGCTGCGGCTATGTAAGTAGAATAAAGAGGAAGGCACAAGCATCTTCGTGTATAAATGATGGAAACGGTATGGAGGGGAGAGATTGGTGAAATTAGATGTGGGAAACAGGAAAAGCTGGCATGGAATTAATTCCTCATAGCACGGCTTTTTGATGACTGGCAACACATTTTCATGGTAAAAAAAAAAAGGGGTAGTTAAGGTAGAGCACGTGAAGGTGTCAAAAATCATAACTACATAGCTGAAGTAGCAGAAGTACCACACAGTGAATGAATGATAATAACGTACTAAAGCAAAGAACTGGCTTAAAATTCCAAAAATATTACATCATTTTCGGCATCCAAATTTCTTTCAAAACACAGTGATTGGACCTTGTTAGTTGGGAAAACCATAAAGTCACCATTCAACTCAAACCGATTAAGTGGTTTGAAAGTTCAAAACTGCTAATCATGATGTTTAAAGGTTAAAGGTTTAAGACTGAAACCATGGAATCATTAACTTAACTATACAGAAACAGGAAAAATAACTTTTAAGGATTCTGTTTGTCCATACTTTAAAACGGGAACAACAACATGATGCTGTAAGGTAAAACTACATGTAAAGATCATACAGAAAAACCTAAGCATACACTACTTACTCGAATCAAAGTAAATCGTATTCACTGAAATTCAAATATAATCATAAAAAATCAATCAAAAGCTGTTGACAGGATATGAATTCTTTACTTGAAAAAACCAATCATTATAATCTGTATATTATACACGGGAGCTTCAATAAGAAAGAAAGTATATACCTAGATGGGTCTCCGTGAGCAGCCAGCCATGGCTCAACCATAGATGAACCGAACCCATCAACAATCTGCTGCCTCCTCCCTTCTCTTCCCAATGTTTCGTTACCTTCACCTCCAATCCTCCCATTCCCCAACGATCGATTGCACTCTGCCAAATTCGCCTCCTTCGCCAACCAATTCAAGACCTTCACTCCATCCTCGAACGCAGCCGGGTACCTACTCTCTGGGGCCAATCTATAGCCAACTGCCACCACCACTGCGTCGCATAATTTGGCTACTCTCCTACAAAACATGTCGTTAGCCACTGTATCATTCCCCCCACTCACCCATCCCCCTCCATGAAACTGCAATATTATCGGCAGCTTCCTACAATTTCTTCCGTTCTTCTCCGGCAAATAGCCCCCATAAACAACCCCATGTTCCGAAACTTTCCCTAAATTCTTAAAATTCTTGCTCGATGGAACCCTAACCCTAAGATTCGGCACCGATTCAGGAGAAACAATCGCAGAGTCCGGTAAAAAAATCCGGATCGAAAGGGAGGTAAAAGGGTCAATATGTAGATCCTTGGTGGCGATGCCGTCCATTGAAAAGCTGGGATTTGCAGCTGCGATGCTTTCATCAGGCCTTGTAACTACCCCATGCGAGATGGAATTAGGATTAAAATTTGGGTTTTCAATTAGAGTTTGTAATTTGCGTTTGAGGAAGAATTTGAAGAGCACACTGTACAATTTCACTGTCAAGGTCGGCATTTTGGATATACACACAAAAATATACACATATATCGTTATATATGCTTATATATGTGTGCATATACAGAGCGCAAAAGAGAAGACTGATTCAATTCAAATTGTGAGGACTTCTAGAAAGAGAAGAATAAGTTGTTTGAATGTTCTGCGGATATATATATATACTTGGACCTTGTTAGTTGGGAAAACCATAAAGTCACCATTCAACTCAAACCGATTAAGTGGTTTGAAAGTTCAAAACTGCTAATCATGATGTTTAAAGGTTAAAGGTTTAAGACTGAAACCATGGAATCATTAACTTAACTATACAGAAACAGGAAAAATAACTTTTAAGGATTCTGTTTGTCCATACTTTAAAACGGGAACAACAACATGATGCTGTAAGGTAAAACTACATGTAAAGATCATACAGAAAAACCTAAGCATACACTACTTACTCGAATGAAAGTAAATCGTATTCACTGAAATTCAAATATAATCATAAAAAATCAATCAAAAGCTGTTGACAGGATATGAATTCTTTACTTGAATGGCCCTAATTACAGTCAGTCCAGGCTATGGGCCGGGTTCTGGATGGCCTGAAACAGAAAAATGTTCACACGTTAATTAACGTTTTACAAAAACGTGCCAGCTCATGGATTATCACACGCTGTTGATAATTGGTTGTTTAATTTTTAAGCTCCCGTTTGAGCCTCATTATTTCTAGGCACATTAAATTAAATTTCTCTTTCTCTCTCTCCTATTTTTAATCACACAATTTTCAATAGAATAATATTATACGTAAATCAAAAAATTTTCAACCACGCATTTTTCAAAAAATACTATTCATCTCATTATAATTTACAAATAATGGGACTCAAACGGCTCCTAAATGAAATTGCTCTACTAAATTTTCAAGGGCAGAAAAAGACGGGAATCTTCTACGAAACAGCTCAATAAAATTAGAAATAGATTCGAGTTAAAATTTAAAAAATTCTGAATTTGAGATCGAGAACAAAAATTTTGATTTGGTTATCAATTTGAATAACAATGTAAATTCATTTTACATTTTGTAATAAAAAGTAATTATGTTAAACATATTTAGCCCTTGTTTGATACCTAATGCTACCAAAAATCGTAACTGTTGATTTTCAAGCTTCATGATTGATAATGAGTAAGAACAGAATATTTCAATACCTGAAACAAATGCGTTGAGGCGCAGTCTCATCATCCCTCTAATATCTAATGATAAGTGTGTTCTTACACACTTATTTAGATCACAAACATGACTTAATTAAGAGCAAAATGTTTAAATTGTGACTTAATCTCGTTGAATTCATGCAATGTACGTGTTTCTATGAAAATGGTGAAATTCAGTAGAAAAGAGCCAAAAAAGACTAAAATGGAGCAAAGTGATAGTTCAGGGATTAAGGATACAAATATTCAAAGTTGAACTAAAAAGCAACCCGGGAATGCAAATATACTAAGTATGAACTCGAACGCGGTACAAGATGATTGGAAGAAGAAGGAATTGCAAAGGGACTAAAATGAAGAAGAATGGAAGTTCAAGGACCAAAATGGACTTTTTGCATAGTTTGTAGCACCTCATAGTGCTACCCTCTATGCGGTCGCATAGAGGCAGACCGAGAATAATTTCTCAAAAAATTTTACTCTATGCGATCGCATAACCGCATAGAAATGTACTATGCGGTCGCATAGAGTAGTTCGGAGGCCGAATCTACAATTTCCTTATTTCCCCGAAACTCTTATGAAAACAAGATTTTTGGGGTCCCATATAAACAAAAATTCGACCAGAACGAAGGGGACGGCGATTTTAGAAGAAAATGAAAGATTTTGAAGAAGAAAACGAAGAGAGAACAAGAGGAAAACATCGCACCAATTGAAGAATTGATTGAAACTTGATTCGGGTGATGACGTTTCTTCAACCATTTTTGTATTTTTTCTTTTTAGCATATTATGCTAAATTTTCCATGTACTAGGAGATCGATGAACCTTGCAATGCAAGTTTTGATTTTTGATTTGGAGATTTGACATATTTAAGCACATGTTTCGGAATTGAATGATTTATACGTTTTTATTTCCATATTATTATTGTGCACATAATTATATGATTTTGGTGGCTTGTTTTATGCATTCGAGAGATGGAAATTTGGCTTGACATGGTATAAATCATCATAGTGTCCGATAGGGGATAGAAATATACCTCTATGCCTCGTGTGAATTGTTGAATATTCATGAAATCATAATGCATTCCTATATGTTAGTATTCGTNAATTAAGATAGGAATATTGATTCATCAATTGTGGGAATGTGTGTCAAATTTGCATAATTAAAAGTTGAACGGGTGTTGCTTGGAATTCGTGATTCTAGTGCATTAGTAATTCATTAATTCCATAAATTATTGTAGATTGCATCCATGTCATTTTGCATTTAGTATAAGTTTCTCACTCATAATTGCATCATAGTTCACATCTTCCTTAGTTAAATCACAATACATACATCTTACTTTCATGTTTCGGTTAAGGTCATAATAGGTTGATAAAAAAACTAATTCAATCCTTGTGGAATCAATACTTGGACTCATAATCCATTCTACTATTTGTTAACGAACCGTACACTTGCGGTGAGTTTTAAATCAAAAGAAATAATTTCGTGAACATCTAACTTAGAGAGAGAATTTATCCGTTAAGCTATAAACTGAAAATTATATAAAAGTGTACTTGAACAATGAATTGAGGCCTAGCATTTATAGAGATAGATAGGCTACTCCTAGTAGGTTTGGACTAGTTGAACACCTTTACACGATTTTGGAAGTTATAGAATGTTTAGAAGTCTTACTATGTCTAAGAATTACAATTTGACAGATATTAGGCAATTGGTGTTTGGATTAAGGTGAAACTCTGATGGTGGAGTTTTATCATGATAGGATAAATGAGAAATGGTAGAACTCAACCTTATAGTAGTTAGGTGAGCCTTATTCTATTGAAAAGCCCTAATCGATTGGGTTTATTGGAAGCAAGGTTAATGCATACACTCAAGGAGACCCCGAACCAAGGAACGATTTTCATACCCGACGACATAAGCCCTCAAATGGTTGATGTCACATGCCTGAGGACACATATCCAAGGAAGTCAAGTAAACTTCACATGAAAATGAAAATATTCATCCTCGAGTATGCAATCCTCGAGTTCGACAATGTTTTTTATATATAAATACTTATTATTTCTAAAATACATTTTTCTCTTTCTTATTTTCAATCACACATTTTTCAATAAAAGAAAATTTAATTTATTCATCCATATTTATATATATTAAATTTTACATAGGTGCATGAAAGTGTTAGAGATCGTCCTCTTATAGTAGCTTGATTCAATATTGACTCACTATCTAATTGTTAGAAAAATAAATATAGCATACTAGTTTGTTGAGTGTTAAAACTTGAAAGGGACTTCTTGGCACGAGGTCGGTTCAAATAGAAAACAGGTAGGCAATAATCAAGTCCATCTTTTTTTTCAAGTATAATGTTGATTAATTAAAACGATATTTGTTGATTAAATCTCATTTTTAATAATTTTTCTTTTTTCCATTTTTGTTGATTTTCAAAATAAAGCGTAAAAGACATCATGAACTAGCTCTAGGACCAACATACTCTCCCTTTTCTTTTCGCTTTTTCCCCCTGATGACTCAAGTGTCCAAGTTTCGTTTAACTAATTATGAGGAGTGGCAGCCTTTTTTCCTGATTTACAATTCAAGTAATTTGGATACGGTCACAGTATATACATATTTTAACCAGACATTTAGGATACGATTCTTCTTCCTACATACCTCCCTTTAAGGTGTGCTGACAAGAATTCAAAAGGGTGACAAAAGCATCATAACTTTGCCTCTATAGAACATTTGCCTCTCAACATAAATGTTGCCACACACGTGGGGGCAACATACTCTCTTCATATGACCAAATCTAGAGCAAGATTCATTTTGGATTATGCCCAAGTTGTGATAGATGAAATAAAAGTCAAGTTATAATGAGTTTGAACGAGATGACTATTTTGATTAGTATTCTCCAAAATTCGATAGACAAAATCGTTCAATCCTAATCAAGAGAATAATATTTGGGATCTCTCTATGACCAACAACAACTACTCTTAACTCTTATGATAGAATCTATTCACAAACACAAGTTTTATGCTAACAAATTTCGCTTATCATCAGCTAATTATTACATTTATTTTATTGTTGATCACATATATCAAACGGTTTTAGAATTGGACACAATAGACCTCCAAAAAATGATCGAAACGAGAGAATAAAGATTTTTATGATACAATCATTAAGTTTCACTTTCAATTAGCCTCTTATTGTTGATTGGGAAGTATTGGTGAAAAGTAGGTTTGGTCAGCCAGGCCTACCTACTTCTATTGGTATTTTAATGTTGGTCAAGTAAGTCCATACCAAAACCTAATTACATAGGTCTAGCCGTCTAGGCCAAGATAAAGTCGGGTTTTAATAACTAGCATCATTGAAATGCGACATATGATTTCGCTTCTTCCAAACACCGACGCCCGCTCGAGTTCAGTTGACATTTGTCTTCTCAATGCAATCTTTTCAACCGTAACGGCAGTGTTTGACTCCTCATATGGCTTGCTAAAAACCCATCATAACATCATGATTCAAGAACAACCCAATCAAAACTAACGCTAAAATCGATTATTATTATTGTTATTTATTATCATTATTATTATTTTTTTGTGTGTCGTTATTGCAACTCTGCAAAGTCGAAGAAAAACCCAGTCTAGGAAATCCATTTTTCAAGGTAACATCTTTCGTTTTAAATAATCCTTCTTGTTTCCATTTCTTGAAGTTTATTTTCTGTTCTTGTTCTTTTATTCAAAATCTATATGAATAGGCACGTTTGCTTATGTAATTTATGAGTCTTAGAGAGTAGCCCAGTCCCGTGATTATTGTTTCTATCTTCTAAGTTCTAACCCATGTGAATTTTACTGTTAACATGCTTCCTCTGCTGGTGCTTGTTTCCAATATAAAATTTCATAGCTCGTTTGAGGTTTAGATGGATGGAATTGCTAGTTTGAGCTTTTTTGGCTCTCACTCCGTATTGTCCTGGTCCTATTATATGAGAAAATCTTGTCTCAAGAACAATTATTTATAGTTCCAATGTAAATATTGAACTTTCTACTGAGTTTCAGGTCTGGTCTTTGTGAGAATGATGAAATAGTCAATTGGACTTCCTCAATTTTGGAATACGATTGATGGAAATGCTAAATAATCATGGGAGAGAAGGTTCTTCACCTAGGGACGATGGAGATAAAGATGAGTTTTTCCCCGTTGGCCCCGCTGAAGTGGTAGCCGAGAGTGATGATGATTCAGTTAATCAGGTTTCCACTTATCAAATTGGCTTATTTCAATTTATTTTTTGTTTATATATTTGATTTCTTTCTCTCTTGTGCTAATTCTATTTGCTTCTCTCTTTTGGGGTAAAACTGTGTTTTTTTCCTTGTATTCTTGATAGTCTTGTCTGCCATTATATTCCAATGCATGAACTGGAATTTTGTAATTGGTGATGTAAGGTTGAAATGCATATTAGGCCAGCCAAGACTGGAGCTTTTCTGCTGTCTATATGCAAGGCAAAGGCCATAGGTGTTTATGAACCAAAGTGTAGGCGGGGGTGTTAAGGTTGGCCGCATGGCACTGTGAGGGCTGCCTATTGGCCTGCCACTCCCAGCATTTTTCTGGCAGCCGGCGTAGCTGCCCAGGGCAGAAAAAGGCGGGGCTGAGCCGGATTTACACCCATAAGTATACACAACTTCATCCCTTGTTTAAAAGTTTGAACTGCATGGAATTGTAGACTGCTTGGTATACTTTAGTGGATTCTTAATATTGAGTCATTCTAAAACTTTTCATCTAGCCATTTTGAAATGCAAATAAGGCACTAAATTTGTGAAAATTGTATTACTATGGTTGCTGGAACTAAGGAAAATAATCTTTAGATTTGGTGTTTTTATCCCGAATTTCAGAATAATTGGATACTAAGAGAGCCTTCAAAGGAACAGGCTAAAATTAATAAGAAAGAAAGCAGTTTGGGACCGATATTTTGATTGTGCGTGTTCTATGCTACACAATTTGTCAAGATTGAAGATCATAAAATCCAATAAATGAAAAATGGTGTAGATCATGTTCAATTTCCTGTTTTTTAAGTTGCTTTTATCCACTTAAACACCTATGATCATCCCTCTTCATGTTAGTTGTTTGGGCGGTGCACTTTCACTTAGTTTGTCTTGCAGAACTTGTATATCTTTCATTACAAATGACTCAGAATTCAGTGCTCTTATGTTGGGAACTGATCTCGAGCTGCAGGTAGATCGTGGAGATCCAACTAATGGGACTGCACCATATTCTCCAAATGATTCAAGTGCAGCAGAAGATGGGGGAAGGGAGGATATGTTTGTTGATTGTCCAGATGAGATGGAAACTTCTGAGATTCTTCAGAGTTTTGAGGATGAAGATGATATCCAGAATACCCAATTCGAAGAATCAGATAATGGGATCAATGTCCGAAATTTGATGGATGAGATTGAACAGTTGCGGGGTATGCTTGCTGAGAAGGATAGATTTGCACAAGAATACAAGGTTCAATTGTCGATATACTAATTCCATCATATATATATATGAATCTCTTACATCAACATAAACTCTGCTTTCCATGCAGGAAGAAAGAGCAGCATTTACAAGAGAACTAGCTCATCTTTGTCATCAAGTCAAAGCTTTGAATGTGCAACAATCTTTGCTTGGTGAAAATGGGGTCGGGTTGGGTGATCATCTTCATCAAATGGATATAGGAGTTTTGGAAGAATATAACTTGGTATCCAGTACCTCCTTGCACGAGACAATAAGCCAGTGCTTGATGTTCTTCAGGAATGCTTTGAATGAACATTCACAGACTGAAGACAAAATTAGAGAACTTCATTCTACACTGCATATGAAAGACCAGGAAATTGAGATTCTCAATGCAAAGGTAGCAGAGTACAAACGTTTCCTTTCTGAAACTAACCAACTTAGAGGATGTTTGGCTGAGATTATATCAGATATCGATGTGGAAGATGAAACTGAAATTATTGTCATTGCGCGGAATAAGTTGCTTGAACTAAAGAGAAATGAAGAGTATCTTTACCAAAATCTGATGAATCTCAAAGTCGAGAACAGGAAATTGGTGGAACATATCGATGAACAGAAATTAACGGTAAATGCAGAAATTGGTAGACTTGGTGAATTAGTTGAACAGGAGAAGATGAAGTGTGCTAATACTAAAGAGAAGCTCAACTTGGCCGTGACGAAAGGAAAGTCACTAGTACAACACAGAGACTCACTAAAGCAATTATTGGCTGAGAAAACAAGTCAGCTGGAAAACTGTTTGATTGAACTGCAAGAGAAGTCGAGTGCTCTAGTGGCTGCAGAACAGTGTAAAGACTTGTTGGCATCAAGTGAAAACTTGGCTGCTTCACTCCGGGAATCTCTTGTGCAGAAGGACACAATTATTCAGAAATGTGGAGAAATATTGTCAGGGGCTGATGTAATAGAGGAATTACAGTCAATAGATTTCGTTGAGAAATTCAAATGCCTAGTAGATGAAAGGAAAACACTGAAGGCTATGTCTCTGGAATATCATAAATTGAAAGATACTTTATCATTGTTTGATTTCCCAGAAACGGTGCTATCAAGTGAACTAGATGCCCGTATACGTTGGCTTTTGGACTCTCTTTATCTGTCTAAAGAAGAAGCTGTAAAGTTACAACATGAAATAGCTGAAACAAAAGAATCTGCTAGCAGTGAGATTGATTGCCTAATTACTTCACTTGCTGCAGTAACACAGGAGAAGAGCAATCTTCAAGCAGAATTGGAGGACTTGAGAAATAAAAATGAAACACTGGAGAAGTTACAACATGAGGTAATTGAAGCCAAGGAAGCTGCAAATATTGAGATTGATAGCCTAACAAGATCACTTTTGGTAGAAACGGAGGCGAAGAATTATCTTCATGTGGAGTTGGAGAATTTGAGACAGAAACTTGAAGGGGTCATTCAAAAGGAATATCGAGTTTCTTTGGAGAAGGATCAAATGGTAAGCATGTTGATGGAGGCATTTGGAATTACAAGAGAGGATCAGGAAGAAGTCTGCAAGGAGCAGTTTGACGGGACCATAATCATTGACAAATGCCTTACAAAGATGAAAGAAGAGTTTAGTCGCCTTGAATCTTCTCAAGTTGGAGAAGAAGTCTTTGAAAACATCCGGACTCTTCTTTATATTAGAGACCAGGAACTGACGCTATACGAGTTAGTAGTAGGGGAAGATGTTTTAGATAGAACAAAGTTGGATCTTCTGTTAAATGAGTTGGAAACAGTAACTCAAGAATGCAATGCACTAAAAAATGAGAAGGTCGTTTTGCAGGAAAATCTTGAACTGTTGGAGGGGAAGAGCTCTCTTATCAGAGAGAAGTTATCTATGGCAGTTAAAAAAGGCAAGGGGTTTGTTCAGGAACGGGAAAACTTGAAAGGTGCTTTGGATGAAAAGATAAATGAAATTGATAAGTTGAAGAGTGGAAAGCAGTTTGGGACCGATATTTTGATTGTGCGTGTTCTATGCTACACAATTTGTCAAGATTGAAGATCATAAAATCCAATAAATGAAAAATGGTGTAGATCATGTTCAATTTCCTGTTTTTTAAGTTGCTTTTATCCACTTAAACACCTATGATCATCCCTCTTCATGTTAGTTGTTTGGGCGGTGCACTTTCACTTAGTTTGTCTTGCAGAACTTGTATATCTTTCATTACAAATGACTCAGAATGCAGTGCTCTTATGTTGGGAACTGATCTCGAGCTGCAGGTAGATCGTGGAGATCCAACTAATGGGACTGCACTATATTCTCCAAATGATTCAAGTGCAGCAGAAGATGGGGGAAGGGAGGATATGTTTGTTGATTGTCCAGATGAGATGGAAACTTCTGAGATTCTTCAGAGTTTTGAGGATGAAGATGATATCCAGAATACCCAATTCGAAGAATCAGATAATGGGATCAATGTCCGAAATTTGATGGATGAGATTGAACAGTTGCGGGGTATGCTTGCTGAGAAGGATAGATTTGCACAAGAATACAAGGTTCAATTGTCGATATACTAATTCCATCATATATATATATGAATCTCTTACATCAACATAAACTCTGCTTTCCATGCAGGAAGAAAGAGCAGCATTTACAAGAGAACTAGCTCATCTTTGTCATCAAGTCAAAGCTTTGAATGTGCAACAATCTTTGCTTGGTGAAAATGGGGTCGGGTTGGGTGATCATCTTCATCAAATGGATATAGGAGTTTTGGAAGAATATAACTTGGTATCCAGTACCTCCTTGCACGAGACAATAAGCCAGTGCTTGATGTTCTTCAGGAATGCTTTGAATGAACATTCACAGACTGAAGACAAAATTAGAGAACTTCATTCTACACTGCATATGAAAGACCAGGAAATTGAGATTCTCAATGCAAAGGTAGCAGAGTACAAACGTTTCCTTTCTGAAACTAACCAACTTAGAGGATGTTTGGCTGAGATTATATCAGATATCAATGTGGAAGATGAAACTGAAATTATTGTCATTGCGCGGAATAAGTTGCTTGAACTAAAGAGAAATGAAGAGTATCTTTACCAAAATCTGATGAATCTCAAAGTCGAGAACAGAAAATTGGTGGAACATATCGATGAACAGAAATTAACGGTAAATGCAGAAATTGGTAGACTTGGTGAATTAGTTGAACAGGAGAAGATGAAATGTGCTAATACTAAAGAGAAGCTCAACTTGGCCGTGACGAAAGGAAAGTCACTAGTACAACACAGAGACTCACTAAAGCAATTATTGGCTGAGAAAACAAGTCAGCTGGAAAACTGTTTGATTGAACTGCAAGAGAAGTCGAGTGCTCTAGTGGCTGCAGAACAGTGTAAAGACTTGTTGGCATCAAGTGAAAACTTGGCTGCTTCACTCCGGGAATCTCTTGTGCAGAAGGACACAATTATTCAGAAATGTGGAGAAATATTGTCAGGGGCTGATGTAATAGAGGAATTACAGTCAATAGATTTCGTTGAGAAATTCAAATGTCTAGTAGATGAAAGGAAAACACTGAAGGCTATGTCTCTGGAATATCATAAATTGAAAGATACTTTATCATTGTTTGATTTCCCAGAAACGGTGCTATCAAGTGAACTAGATGCCCGTATACGTTGGCTTTTGGACTCTCTTTATCTGTCTAAAGAAGAAGCTGTAAAGTTACAACATGAAATAGCTGAAACAAAAGAATCTGCTAGCATTGAGATTGATTGCCTAATTACTTCACTTGCTGCAGTAACACAGGAGAAGAGCAATCTTCAAGCAGAATTGGAGGACTTGAGAAATAAAAATGAAACACTGGAGAAGTTACAACATGAGGTAATTGAAGCCAAGGAAGCTGCAAATATTGAGATTGATAGCCTAACAAGATCACTTTTGGTAGAAACGGAGGCGAAGAATTATCTTCATGTGGAGTTGGAGAATTTGAGACAGAAACTTGAAGGGGTCATTCAAAAGGAATATCGAGTTTCTTTGGAGAAGGATCAAATGGTAAGCATGTTGATGGAGGCATTTGGAATTACAAGAGAGGATCAGGAAGAAGTCTGCAAGGAGCAGTTTGACGGGACCATAATCATTGACAAATGCCTTACAAAGATGAAAGAAGAGTTTAGTCGCCTTGAATCTTCTCAAGTTGGAGAAGAAGTCTTTGAAAACATCCGGACTCTTCTTTATATTAGAGACCAGGAACTGACGCTATACGAGTTAGTAGTAGGGGAAGATGTTTTAGATAGAACAAAGTTGGATCTTCTGTTAAATGAGTTGGAAACAGTAACTCAAGAATGCAATGCACTAAAAAATGAGAAGGTCGTTTTGCAGGAAAATCTTGAACTGTTGGAGGGGAAGAGCTCTCTTATCAGAGAGAAGTTATCTATGGCAGTTAAAAAAGGCAAGGGGTTTGTTCAGGAACGGGAAAACTTGAAAGGTGCTTTGGATGAAAAGATAAATGAAATTGATAAGTTGAAGAGTGAATTACAACAAAAATTATTCACATTGGATGAATGCCATGATAAAATCAGTATATTGTCTCTTGATGTGGAGCGTATTTTGCAGGAAAATCTTGAACTGTTGGAGGGGAAGAGCTCTCTTATCAGAGAGAAGTTATCTATGGCAGTTAAAAAAGGCAAGGGGCTTGTTCAGGAACGGGAAAACTTGAAAGGTGCTTTGGATGAAAAGATAAATGAAATTGATAAGTTGAAGAGTGAATTACAACAAAAATTATTCACATTGGATGAATGCCATGATAAAATCAGTATATCGTCTCTTGATGTGGAGCGTATTCCCAAGTTGGAGGCTGATCTTGTTGCTATGAATGAACATCGAGATGAAATTGAGAGGTTGCTATCAGAAAGCAACAGCGTGTTGCAAAGATTAATGGAGTCAATTGATGGCATTATTCCTCCAGCAAATTTGGCTTTTGAAGAGCATGTAGGAAAGGTGAAATGGCTTGCTGGATATCTCAGTGAATGTGAAAATTCAAAGATGGAAGTGGAACAAGAATTGAGGAAAGTAAAGGAAGAAGCAAGTGTTTTGGTAAACAAGTTATTAGAATCCCAGATGACTACAAAGTCACTAGACGACGTCTTATCAGAGGCGAAAAACAATATATCTCTGCTCCTAGAAGAGAAGAAAGAACTTGAAGTTGCTAAGACGTATGTGGAGGATGAATTAAAAAAGGCAACAGAGGAAGCTTATTCTCAAACACTAAAGCTTGAAGAGGTTTCTGCGAATAGAAGATCAGTTGAAGATGCTTTGTTAATAGCTGAGAACAATATTTCCAAGCTCATGAATGAGAAAGACGTAGCTGTACAAAGGAGTGCTCTTGCAGAAGAGGAGCTACAGAAATTAAAAGAGGAGTTTTCTGTTTATTCTAGCATGTTGGTCGGAGCTGACAAAACTATACAATCGCTAGAAGATGCGTTGTCTGAGGCAAAAATGAATGTTGCATTCTTGGCTGATGAAAACAACAAGGTACAAATGGGGAGAATTCAGTTGGACAGTGAGATGAAGAAACTCAAAGATAAAGCTGATTCACAGGCTAGTAAACTTGTTGATGCCTCCTTAACCATCAAATCGCTCAAGGAAGCATTGTTAAGTTCAGAGAATAAATTGGCCAAACTTGTTAATGAAAAGAAAAGCGTTGAACAAGAAATGTTAGCACTTAATTCTAAGTTGAACGTATGCATGCAAGAGTTGGCAGGAATACATGGTAGCACTGAGATCCGGTCTCTGGAGCTATCTAGTCAGCTTAGCCTTCTTCAGTCAGTTCTTAAAGATGAAACTCTAATTTCCCTACAACAACAATGTTTTGAGAAGAAATCTGAGAGTCTAAAGGACATAGATCTTCTCCTTAAAGAAATGAAGGATTGTTTTCTTGAAATCAACTCAGATGTGCCGCAAAACTCTTTTGTTGTGGAGGTATCTTCTTTTGTTGAATGGACATGATATGTTGCTGTTTCTGCACTGTAATCCTGATATGCCTACTGAGCAATCTCTCCCTGACCCCCTCGCCCCAAATAAATAAGTAAATAGAAAAGTAAGAAATTTGTTAATGAAAGATTATTAGAAGCATGTAATAAGATTATACTCAAATGTACAACCAGGATTTGATTCAAAGGAGACTGAAAGGAGGGAAAGATAAAAATGCAAAATTTATTTTAGATGTTCTTCTATCTCAATTTATATGAAAGCTCATTTTTGCTGTCTGGCATATATACAAAATGCATGCTGTTTCTTCTTTAATGGTTGAAATATTGAATTTTTGCACGTCTCATTACTCGTTGAACGTTTTGGTGTTTTTAATTATTTTTGAAGTACTCTTCTGCTCTCTTCTCCTCCCTTCTGTGAGTCAATGAAAATGAAAACTTTATTGTTAATTCCATGATTCATGTAATAAAAATGGTTTTTATGATGTTCTTATAGGAGATGTTGAGTTTTTCTTAGCCGATGGTCTCACTACATTTTCCCCTTTTTGTAGGATGATTCTTCCATTTCAAATATTCTACCATCTAGCTTTGATAACATTTGTAACGTGGAGGTGGTTAATGGTGAGGTGAATGCAACTGATGGTGATGATATGTTGTTACATATTGGGAAGATGGTTGAAGGGTTTCATCTGAAAGACAAGATTATAGCTGATAAATTTAAAAACCTCTCTGCCTTTACAGATGAGTCTAACTCAACTCTGTTGAGAAAATTATATATAACAAAGGATAGAATGATAAGTATGCTTGAGCTTATAAAATCTCTGAAACAGAGAGTAAAGGATGAGGAAACAGACAAGCAAAGGCTGGAGAATACTATACTCTCTTTAGAAAGTAGTATGCAGAACAAATTCGAAGAAATGAAACGAACTTGTGATAGAGTGGTGAAAGAAAGGGATCTGTACAAAGATAGAATCATTCAACTGGAGGCTGATCTGGAAGTACAAGAAAATGTATTCAATGAAACAAGGCTTAAACAACAGGATTGTGAAGCGGAAGTGGATAAATTGAAAAGGAGAGAAGCAGAACTTTCGTCTCTGTATGCTGCTTCATTATCAAAAGTTCAAGGTATGCAAGTGTTTAATATTTAAACATCTTAGCTTTACGAAATTTAGCATTTGACAATTACAGAGACGTGACTTTTTTTAGTACTGTTGACTGATATACGGTCAACCTAACCAAACAGGAGCGTAATGTTTTGTTCTGCCTCTCATCTATTTCTTTAAAATTTGCCCCTTTTTCATGATTTGATTTAGAAATGGAAGACTGTTTCCTAACAGTGCCTCAGATGAAAATCCTCTTTGATAAGATAAACGAGATCGAAGTATCTGATGCTGCATTTGCAGCTGGAGGGGTAGAGCCCCACGACTCGTTTGATGTAAGAAAGCTGTTCTACATTATTGACAATTTTGATAAATCGCAGCAGATGGTAAGCTCACTGTTTCTAGAAAAAGAAGAGCTGCAGTCAACGCTTGACAAACAGGTATTTGAAATTGAACATCTGAATAATAAAGTTAAAGAGCATATAATAAATGAGAAAGACTCAGAAAGGATGAAGAATGAATTGTTGGAGCTCGAATCGGGTCTGCAGAATATTTTCATGAAGTTGGGGGACAATGAATTGATTGATGATCATAAAGTGACTGGTGCGATATGGCTAGTACCCTTGCTTGACAATCTGGTTATGGCCTTGGTGCTGAAATCTGAAAATTTGAAATCCAAAATCGATGAACTTGATGCCAAGTTTCACGGGTCCCAAATGCTTGTGAGTGACTTATCGAACAAGGTTAAATTACTTCAAGATTCTAATCGGGCTAGAATTTCTCCTTCAGAGGATGGCCAGGATAGAGGAACCTCTGAAGCTTCCTTGCCTACAATGTCAGAGATATCAGAAATTCAAGATACGGTAAAGTTGTTTTCATATTATTAAACTCTGAATCATGTTAAGAGAAAAATCTCTATATAATAGTTTACTTTCTGGTGAGGCTGGGAAGGGACACTATAGTTACTACTTTCTAACTCTTGCAGGGATCACTTGGTAAGAGTAACAACATTTCTCCCGTTTCATCTGCTGCTCATGTGCGAACTATGAGGATGAGCCCGAGTGATAATGTTTCTATCGATATTGATTCTGAGTCTGAACGATTGGTTAACAATGAAGAAGCTGATGATGATAAAGGTTAAAGTAGTTAAAAAATTGATACTTATTTAGGCTACAAGAACTGGAAAATTTGCATTAAACTCTTTTTTGCAGGTCATATATTCAAGTCTCTTAATACATCTGGTCTCATTCCAAGAAATGGGAAAACAGTTGCAGATCGAATTGATGGAATTTGGTAAAATGCCATGTTTATTCTAATTTCTTTAAAAAATAAAAAATTTCCCCAAAATTATTGGTTTTTGTGCTTCATTTTTTAACCAACCGTGAAGCTGGAGAATATAGAGATTTAAGATTAACTGCAGATTCGTTTTTATCTATATTTTCTTTATTATTCTCATGCTTATTTTCAATTTACTCAGGGTTTCTGGTAGTCGAGCTTTGATGGGTCGTCCGAGGGCGAGGCTTGGTGTCATAGCTTATTGTCTGTTCTTGCATATCTGGTTACTGGGCACAATTTTGTAACAAATCCAATGACCAATCACCTTAGACTACAGCAACTGTCTGATATAATTCAACCATGTAACATATATGTAGTTCACGTGATCAATCTTTCCAATTTTTCACCTTTTCTAGGTTGTCTAAAATGTATATAATTATATCATTGTACCCAATTTGGATTGTTTGCAGGCAAATGTTAGGGATGTAGAAAATTCAGTCCCTTGATTGTTCCTTCAGTAAAATAGCTGGTAGAAAATCTGCATTGTTTGTTGATAATTGTTTTGCTTATCCAAAACCTATTCAAGGATTGCAAAATGTTAATTATTTTCTTGCCACCGATCACAATATCAAATATTCAGCACGGTGGAGCTGGGATCATACCAACTTTCAAGATGCTTTTTAATAATCGATTTTATCATAATCTTCAAAAGATGATGAAGTTGTGGAACCAAATTCGGAAAAGATAAGGCCGTGGTTGGTTTCCCGTTTTCGGCCTATTTTCCGTTTTCCGTTTTGGAAAACGCAGAAAACGCGTTTGATCCGCCGCTTTCGAAAACACATTTTCGAAAACGAGTTAAAATTTATAACTGAAAACGCAAAACGACTTTTTATCGTTTTCGGCATTTTCAGTTATAAATGTCGAAAACACTCAAAACGCAGAAAATTGGCCGTTTTCGGGGAAAGCTAAAAATCGTTTTGAAAATGAAAATGCAAACCAACCACTACCTAAATGTTTTAAATGCAATTTTGACTTGGACAATAGATGTCAAGGAGGCAATTATAATTGTAAATTGTTTTCAGCATTGTGAAATATAGCATGTGACTAACATGTCTTCATAGAATCTGGATGAACCGTTAGAGATGGTGGAGACATGCAAAAACTAAAAAATATTGAATTATCATAATGGAATGGATGTCCAGGACATCTAGAGCTACGTTGGAGAAAACGACACAACTTGAGAGATGTTTAACTGGAGCACATAATTGAGAACATCATGCGACTTGATTGAGATTGAGATGATAATTCCATTATGGAGCCCGTTTCGTCAAACAAAGCTCTCAAAGTGCTGGTGGCATTTAATAGTTTGTGTTTCATTACGAGGAAATCATATTAGAATTTTTTTTCCATGTTAAGAAAAGTTAGAGATAGATCTAACTTAACGTTAATTTCAAGAAGAAATAAAACAATGACTGAATCAAATTTTAGGAAGACTTCATAGTTAATTCATAAGCACTTTGAATTAGAAAATTATTGATTCGTATATTATGTGAAATCTATATGAATTTTTTGTAATAGATTGTCTTATCAACTTAGCGAATTATTAATTTAGCACATTATTCTCAAATCGGAGCGGCCTAAATTATTATTTAACTGAATCTATTGATTTATCAAGGTTCTATTGTAATTGAAATAATAATCAAGGTGGCAATTTATCTTTTTATATTTTTCCCCCACAACCAATGATAATGTTATAAAATAATGAGATAATTATTGATGATTATTTAGTATTATTATGATACAGTTAGATAATTCTTATCTAATTTAGAAGATCTATTTCATTTTAATTGTAACTTTTATTTTGGACCCTACAAATATAAAACATTGGTTCTTAATAATACATACTTGAATTTTGATTCTTATATTCTTTTCTCTTTTTCTCTCTTTTCATAACAAGTTATTAGCACGAGCGTTTTCATATATTTAGCAATTTCAAATTTTGAATAATATATGTCTTACAAAATTAATTTTC